TATTTCCTGCTTCCCAAATTATCACCATGTAATCATAGTTTTGCTCAATTTTGAACAGCTTACAAAAATGAATTCTCAATCAGCAACACTAGAATAAATTACTCCAACAAATACATTTTCATTTCTGATCGTGATAAAATATACTAATTAGGTTTTGTAATTTTGTTTGAGCTTACAGAGTAAATACTGGGGTGAACGTGAGTTCTCAGGAGCATCTGAGGCATAGTTCTTAAAAAAAAAAAAAAATTCCCTTCTAGTTCCTTCTTGTGACTTGGGGTAAAAGGCCCATTTAGCAAGTTTTAAGGACCTACAAACCAGAGAAAAGCTTGCTTGTCTACTAGGTTGACTCTCTTTTCTCTCTTGGTGGGTATTTTTTTTGCTAATGCTTTCAGGTTACTTAAGGATATGTGCCTTGATAGTGCAGACAGACCTCAATGCCACTTATCTTGCATATGACAGCATGATGGGCACTATGAAGCTAATAATTCCCTTGTTCTGTAGATGCCAAGGCCCCGGACAGCAGAATTGATTCAGTTCTGTTGTGCAAAAAGGAGAGAGCAGAATTTGGAGTGTTGTATTGAATATATACACCCCACTATGTTCCAGGATGTTACCTTGCACCTGGATTCTCCTGTCCTCCCCCTTTCCTCTGGCTCTGCAGCTTGCCCTGACACCAGCTCCAGTCCTGGCTGAAATACCCAGCATATGGCGTGGTATAGTGGTTGTGTGCTGGATGGGAGGCTCTGAGTGGGTCCATCCTCCACTTTGATCTTCTTTTTCTTCATTGTTTGTGTATTGTAGTTGTTCTGCTTCACTTTTCCATCATGATGTAGAAAATAGAAGTAACCGTTAGAACATTATTTATGGCATGCCAGAAAACCTAAGCAGTGCTGCTGCTTTCTTGTTTGTTGGGGCTGGCAGATCCTCCCTAAAAATTGAACAACTGAGTGAGGGTGTTTTTGTAATGCAAGTTTGGATTTGTTTCAATAGCCTGCATTTGAATGGAAGTATAAATGGATAAATCATGCTTGGTTAGCTTATACCAATTTATATCCAGATTTTTAACGCTTTGTTTGTTGTTAGATTAGCCTTGGAAATATTTTCTCTGGGATTATACGTTCAGGTCCCAAGATTATCATTTTATTTTGTGATTTTTTCCCCTTAATTCTTTACATCGTGATTTTCAAGAGCATTAAAAAAAAAAATCCTCTGCTGTTTCACAGCTCAGACAGTCTGCCCTTATTCTCACCTCTGGCATTCTGTGTTTGGAGGTGGAGTTAAGAGTGAGGCTTTCATAAATCAAGAGAGAACGAATATTATTTGATGAGAAAAAGAGAGATGATAGGAAGAAGAACACCCCTAACGAACGTCTAGAGAGTTGTGCTCTCTCCCCTTACTTAACTTTGGAAACATTTTTATAGAGACCACTCCAGCCATGGGTATTTTCAACTTAAACACTTTAACGAATCGTCTCCTCATTGCCAACTGTCCTGTTCTAAATAGGACCACAGTTTTTATTATTATTGTTAACCCTCTTTTCTGTTATCCAGAGTAAGGACTTCAGGATTTGGTCAGAAATACTTTGTTTTAAAAAGACAACAACCCAAAACCTCCACTGTATTTTAGATAGTACTACTTTACCATCTGTTTTTGATATTCAAATGCCAGAGCATATCATTTTCATTTTTTCATCTGCACAGTATTTACAATACCCAGTGAAGAAAACGTTTGCTTTTTTTTTAATTAGAAGTATAATAGCAACTGCTGTAGTTTGTATACATGTATATTTCTCCAAGTGCAGCAGCTCTGATTTTATTTATTTATTTTAGGACTATTATGGGACCTTATGGAATCAATCGAGCTGTTCACCGCCTTACTTTTTCTGACTGTCAAAATGGATTAGGTAATTAGATTACATATTTGACTCTAACAGAGCGAAATCTTGAGAGGTCCTGGGCACCTGCTGGGCATTTGCAATTCATACTGATATCAGTGGGAGTTGAAGTTTCTCAATCTGTTGTGATATTTGCCTGAATGTGTTTGGTGCAATGGAGGGAATGACCAGTTTCTTGCTTTTATCTGTTTTTCAACAGGGGTTAAAATTATTGGAGGTTATCGGGAGCAAACTGAAGAAGACTATGGAATTTTCATAAAGAAAATTTTGCCAGGAGGGATGGCTGCAATAGATAGTAAATAATGACTTTTATGTATTCTGTAGAATCCTACATTACGCAGGAAGCTGTCAAGAAATCAAATGGTCTTTTTAAATTTTATTTTCAGTATGTACACACAAAGTAATGTTTAGTTCAGCAAAGATTCATCATTTTCCAAAGGGAGGATGTGGAGGAGTCACAGTAATGGACATCCATTCAAATCTAGATCAGGCCAGTGTGAAATCAGTTTGCGATCTGTCCACATTGTCAACTTTCCAAACTGTGAGATGCTGAAAGCTCTCAACTCCCAGTGGCTTCAGTGGGAGGTAAGGACATTCAGCACCTCACAGGATCAGGTCCTGTGTTTATACATTGTTCTAATAAATTCAGATTAATGTTTTATGATCGTGTTTTAGGTGATTTATATGGAAGGACCAAACTGTGTTGTACAGAGTTTAGACTGGGGAGAAAATTCCAGTGTATACTAGGTCCAACCAGGTTTCTAAACTTGGTCTGGCCTTGTCCACATTAGCCATTGGGGGGGAAAAAAACAAAAAACAACCTTTACCCAAGTTTGTATTTAAAACTGCTCAGCAAACACATTTCCTACACTCATGTAGACAGAGTCATTGAGTGGTTCAAACTAAGAACTGTTTTAAAAACTATTATAAACATCAAGAAACACAAAAATATTTAATTTATATATGATAACCTACATGTAGTCATCAGTTCAAAGCTCAGCTGACAGCTAATTCCATACCCTATAATCCTTGAAGCATTGGAGCATAATCCTACAAATATGCACATTGTGTGAGTAGTCCTGTTAGGATCAATGGAACTACTCAGGGTAGTAAAGTTAAGCACATGCTTTAATGTTTGCAGGATCAGGGCCTACGGTGATAAAATCATTCTTACAGTAGATTAGATTGGAGCAAAAGTAATAGGAGTATATTTTCCATTTTTCCCTGTTAATTCATGTAGACTTTTACATTACATTTTGTTATCAGGCCGATTGCTCACTGGAGACCTAATTTTAGATGTCAACGGAGAAAACTTAGTTGGTGTAACCAGTGAAAGGTATGTTCATAAAGATGACTAAATGTTTATCTAGAGCTTGGAAAAATGTTACTAATACTGGTGTTATACAGTCAAAGATTTTGGACCAAATTAAACACTGATTAAAAGGGTATAACTGCACCAAGTCCATGGAGTTGCACCTGCAGATTGTCCCAGAGAGCTCAATATCTGTCCTTACTCAACAAAACTATCATTGACATTAATGGGAGTTTTGCCTGCATAAGATCCAATTAAAGAGATTTCATGTTGTTGTGTAGGTTGCAGAATGTATGTGTAAATTCATATCAAAATAGTTATTAAGCTAGTAAAATATTTAACATTACTGTAATTATCATGGTATTTGGCTGGATATCCATTAAAGCAAGTGATTTGGTTATATATTGCTAATAATTGGCACTTCTTGTTCTCTCAGGTGGGGTAATTAAGGCAGAGAAGTTGCCTGTATTGTTTATGAGGTGTGATATATAGGGTCTGAGGTGGAAACACTGACTATCACTATAAAGCCCCAAACAGTAGTAGAGTTAGGATTTATATTAAAAATAACCTTCTCCCCCCCAAATAAAACTTCTATAGTACAGATTAAAAAATAACAAACCAGAACGGTACAAAATGAAAAGCCAACTTCTACCCCATACAAACTTTTTGTGCCATATGATAACCCAGGACTTAAATGGAATGATATATCAGAGGCATATTTCCAAAATGATTTGTTTGTTAAGATAAGATAAGAAATTGTTCAGTTTTCTTCCATTTAATACTGTGTAGTGAATGCAGAGCATTTGCATTCAAACAGTGAACATAGATAGATTTACTTTTTTAATTGTTTTTTCCCCCCTTCCAGAGCTGTTGACGTTTTGCGAATGGCATCAGCGACTAATCACATGTCTTTGCTGATTACTAGAGATGAAGAAGCAAAGTAAGAGAGTTAAAATGTTTATATTAAAATTACCATTACAGCATCCCTCTTCCTCAATAAACCCCAACACTTTCACTAAAATACATCATTTGTTAATATACAGATGTTTTATAAATTTGGGATTAGTCATAAGATATCCACAATGTAATTTGTTTTTGTGTTTTGCTTAAACATTTTTATAGCCTAATTCATTTTGTCAGAGTATAATACAGAGTTTTTGTTATCTTCCCCCCCATATGCACATGTAGTATACCCCAAGCTATGATACCAAGATTCCTATGAAGAATGATGGCAGTGGTGAATTGAAAGTGTATCAATATATTTATATCTGACTTTCAGGGCCATGCTGTCTACATTCCATGAATATATGAAAGCTGGTCTATAAGTCAAACAGAAAATATTAATCCTGCTCACCATAGTCAAACAATCAGTCCCAGTTAGTTCAGTCGGACTACTCACATTAGTAAAGGCTGCAAGTTCTGACCCATTTATATTTCATGAACAAAGTCTAAATGTTACACAGTACAATTAATAATACTATAAAGTATTTGCTGTCATCAGAAGGATGATTTCCTGACTATTTGTTGTCTCTTTAAAATATAAGAGAAGTGGAATTAAAAAGATGATTCGTATTTGACAGTAGAACAACTTTAACTAGTGCCAGGCATCTGAAAATAAAGTCCTTGCAGTTGTATTTTTTTCAGAATTGGCTTTTCAATCTCTTACTTATGAGCTCTGATTTAGTTGAGATAAGTCTGTTAAACTATTCAGTGCGGCAGATAGTCCAAAATTCCTACAGTATAAGGACAGTTACACTAAAATATCCCTTTAATCTTGTTATCTACAGATAATCATATAAACCGACATTGGCATAGGAAATGTTGGGATGGAAAGAAGCCAGGAAGCCCATCCAGGTCTATCCCCCCCTGTTTCCTCCAAATATTTATGTAACTACATTTGAAAATCATTGAAGACTTGCCACTCTTGTTGCCTTTCCTAGGCGCTTCCATTTATTAACTGCCCTCTATGTAAAGAAAGTCCACCTAAATTCCTTTAGAGCATGGCCTTTCTTAATCTTATGCTTGTGCCTCTTTATTCCTGTATTTGACAGTAGTTCAAATGGCTTTGTAGCTTCTATCCTCTCTCTCTTCTTCAGACTGTTTTAGATATCTCTGAAGTTCACTCTTAATCTGCTTTTATCCAAAGCATACTGACCTAGTTCCTCTAACCTTCTTGAATAATTAAAATCCGTGAGCCCCTTTATCATTCGGGTGGTTTGTCCAGGGACAAGATCTCCACTAGCTATTCTAAATGTGTCCTCACTCCCTTATAGAACTCTCAGTTAATTTCCTACCACTGTACATATATATTATATTAAATACTTCATTTATACATAAGTTTTTGTGTATGTGACTAGAACCTGGTGGTAGATAAGCACCAGTTAAATAAGTATATTTGTATTGCTATTAAGCAATGTACCAAACTGTGATTTTGAGTTGCCCCTGTGTAGTCAGTAGATTTACTCTGGAGTTATGCTGCTGTAACTGATATCACAGTCTGGCCATTTATGTTACCTCCACCCTAATTTTGTGATATTAGTTTTCTGGTGTTCGTGGTTCACATCCTTTTAGATATAGGTCCCTCCCCCCTAGTTTTTTTTCTTTTTTACTTTTACCTTTATTCCTGAGATAGTAGTAATGACTACATTTTACAATCTGATTTTTTTTAAATGAGGGTATAATCAGTGTTTGATTCGTAGGGATTTTTTCTTAATTGAATAAATAATGTTTAATAATGGATTTGCAGGGTCAGCTTTAATTATTTCTTTGCTAATTAATCCAAGAACTATTTCTGAAACTTCCAGATAATGTTTGGAAATAGTAATTAGTTGATTTCTACAGAGCCAATCATGTAAATATTTTTAATACAAAGGAGGATTCACAGATTTATGAGATTCATTCTGCAACCAGCTGTATATTCAAATTGTGTATTCCTCTTTGGGGGAGGGAGGGAAGAATCCAAAACATACCTGTAGGCATATAGCACTAAGTTTATGAATGTTGGAAACTAATGCCCAGGGATTGATTTATGAAGTTTCCAAAGAGGAAAGGAGCCACACAAAGATGAAGCTGTGGATTGAGCCAGAGGCCTAGATTTTGGGAGTGACTCTGAAAGAGATATGGGGGTCATGGTGGATAATCAGCTGAACAAGAGTTTCCAGTGTGATGATGTGTCCAAAAGGGCTAATGCATAAATGTGGCATCTCGAGTAGGAATAAAAAACGTTATTTCACCTCTGTATTTGGCACTGATGTAACTGCTGCTGGAATACTGTGTCAGGTTGTGGTATCCACAATTCAAGAAGGATGTTGATAAATTGGAGAGGGTTCAGAGAAGAGCCGTAAGCATGATTGAAGGATTAGAAAAAACATGCCTTATAGTGATAGACTCAGTGAGCTCAATGTATTAAGCTTTACAAAGAAAAAGTTTAAAGGGGTAATTTGATGAGTCTATAAGAACCTACAGGGGGAACAAATATTTGATAATGGGCTTTTCAGTCTAGCAGAGAAAAGTATAACACGATCCAGTGGCTGGAAGTATTCAGACTGGAAATAAGGCATAAATCTCTAACAGTGAGAGTAATTAACCGTTGGAATAATTTACAAGTGCTCATCGTGGATTCTCTATCACTGGCAATTTTTAAATCAAGATTAGATGTGTTTCTAAAAGATTTGCTCTAAGAATTATTGTAGGGAAGTTCTGTGGTCTGTATTATACAGGAGGTCAGACTAGATCAGGGGTCGGGAACGTTTGGCATGCGGCTCGCCAGGGTAAGCACCCT